CATGGGTTGGGTGAAAAAGCATTCTTCATGGGCAGTAGTGCACAATGCGTGCAACATCCCATGCTCACACAAGATCAACATACCAAACCCTTGTTCTCTACATCAGGCAAATCAGAAAAAAGGAACGCGTAGTTCTTGGTTTGAAATGTTCCATCATCTCTCATGCAGTTTCCAAGAGACAAAAACCTTGTTTTTGTGCAAGCTAAATATTGGGCTTGCTGAGTTTACCATGGATTTTCCTTGCTACGCGCCACCTAGCTAACTACTTAGCAAATAGCTTTGCTTGGCTAACAGATAGTAAACTTGCGAATTGCCCCATTATATTAGAAAAGGCTCAACAGAAGGAAAGGAACTGACGCACAAGTCCGCCGAGAACCATTTCCTTCTGTTGCCCTGCAGGTACGTGGAAATGGCGTCCCATTTCCATATCCTCGGATACATCGCCAGCTTCGTTGACCAGGCGACGATTTATCCTGTCCCCTGCAACTGATCAAAACAATTTGGGTTGAAAATTCTGGAAACGGAGGGGGGGCACACACACGGAGCCGCTTGGCTTGGCGGCGCTCCCGGGAGGTGCAGGTCTGCCGCACGAGCAGCAAATTACGGAGCAAAACTTGAATAGGAACCTAAAAAGCCTTAGAAACGAGAGAAAGAAAAATAGAAAGAGCAAAGCGAAAAGGGCAGGAAAGAAAGATAGGGGTAGCGAAAAAATGACTACTTAGCCCTTGACCGGGGCAGGGAAACGAGCCTCAAGAACAACCTAACGAGCCTGAAAGAAAGCCCAAGAGAGAAAGTGGGGGGCAGGGAGGGGATGTATGTTCATGTGTGTGTGTGTGTGTGTCCATGTGTGTGTTTGAATACTTAGCACTTTAAATATACTGACTACTTTGCAGAAATGAATTACGTGCAGTAGCTAGGGAGCGGGACTTTAGTCTTAACGCCCGGGTAGAGTAGACTAGACAGGGACAACAGAAGGAAAGGCACCGACACACAAGTGTGTCGAGTACCATTTCCTTCCTAATTAGAGGGGGGGTTAGAGAAAAGGGGGACCCGGCGGGGGTTTATTCTCCGCATGCCCGGCGGCGTCAAGTCTCCGTAAGCTCGGCAGTTTTGTGGCAGAAGATTCATGGGGTGAAACAAAAAGCCAGTGGGTGATAATCCAACGCATGCAGAAAGATGCTGAATCAAACGTGATCCCCGATGGTTTCGGCGCTCCCTTGCGGGAGATCACACTCTGCACCCAGTGGGACGACAGAGCGGCACACACTTAGAACTTGGTTTTCCGCCAACTCTGCAATTCCACGAAAACAGGAGTGAGGGAACGGAATGGCGCACGATCAGCTCAATTTGAATGTTGAAAAATGTCTTCGCTTGACTGCAGCAGCTTAGTTACTGAATACTTAGCGGTCCCGAATTGCGGCCGTGCATAGTGGGTTGAATTCCATCTGGAAGCGAGACCAAAGGAATCGCTTCGGATAGGGTAGAAAATATCTAGAAAAGGAAAAAAAAGGTTCCAGTTTGTAGCTAGGGGGCGAGACTTGCGAATCGCCCCATTAGATTAGAAAAGGCTCGAAAGGAACCGACGCACAAGTCCGCCGAGAACCATTTCCTTCTGTTGCCCTGTAGAGCAGTGCAGGTACGTGGAAATGGCGTCCCGTTTCCATATCCTCGGATACATCGCCAGCTTCGTTGACCAGGCGACGATGTATCCTGCCTCCCCTGCAACTGATCAAAAGAATTTGGGTTAAAACTCCTGGAAACGGAGGGGGACACACACACACAAGGATGTTCTTCTGTGGAATTTCTGCTGGATCCAAACCGTTGGCCTCTAACTTGTTGCGTTCTTGCTCCTGCTTGCTCGTCGCTCCTACAAACTCGGACATAATTAGCCCTAGGGCTCCAAGCACCTTCTGAGGATGTACTTGGAGCCCTAGGGCAGGTTTCTCATCATTTGCTTTGCACTCGACATGGAAGAATAGGTCGTTTTCGGACCTTTGACCTGACATCGCAGGGCGCCCCGGTGGAGACGTTTTCAAGCTTTTCAGCCGCGCCTCAAAGCGCAATACGATGTAGTAGGTAGTAGGTAGTAGTAGCGGAAGAAGTAGAAGTAGTAGTACTAGTCTAGCACTAGTCATCCTGGTTAGTCCTGGTGCATGTTGGCTTGTTGCTATGGGTTTATAAAGCAACAGCCGAGTAATGCCGAGTACCCCATTATAGAGATGCATGTGTGTTGACGGGGCTGCTGTTTCCAACAACAACGACAACCATACCGGCAAGAGCAACAAGCAGCAACACCAGCAGGGATTTGGAACTGGTCCGACTCTAACATACTCTAATCAACTCATTACTAACCATGATAACTACCGTCCCCTCGGGGTCTCGGATGGTTTTGGGGGACCCGAACCAATGGGGAAGGGCAGTGCCGCACATCGTGCCCCCGCATGCGAGCCCCTCCCCCCCCCAAAAGTGTTTTGGGACACACAAAACGGACAATGTCACTGCTCAATTTGATTCCAAATCATGCGAGTTTAGGATTTGGAGCAGTGTCCCCAAATCCTAGGTCCTATCTTGTGTCTCAGGCTTTTTCACTGTCAGATACTGTGGGGTGGTTGGAATGGTGTTTGGGAGATATGTTGGCCAGGGGCCCCCGGGCACTTTCTCTACGGCCCCAAGACCCCACACCCTGAAGTCGGTGATCGACGCTACATCCTGACAGGACCGGGCAGGACGCTTTCTCTCCTGGCGAGAAAAACAGAACAAAAAATAGACATTATCTGAAACTGTCAGGAGACATTCATTTGATCATATTTGACATCATTTGACCCTTATCCTCATTCTTTTCTTTTAACATGGATTTCAAAGAGGATACGAACCTGACCTACCGGCGGAGGCGGATCGGAGCCGCGCGCTTGAAAGCAGCGCGGTCGCATGGTGGACGACCGATTGACTCGGGCTCCAGGAAGCTGATGACCCGCTACTGGGGAGGCTACCCTCAGCATCACTGTCGAAGCACCTGGGTTTTGGATGGTTAGATGTGGATGTCTGAAGCCCTGGGCTGAACGTGGGCCCCGCAGATGGGGACGCCGGACGCGTCGTTCCGCACAGCCACCGCGCCGGACGGCTCTGTGGCTGGGCAAAGGTCTCATGAAGCTCAGCTAAGTCCACTTGGAGCTCCTTGCAGGGAGGGGCGAATGGCGAAGACTTGTCCTAGACCATGAAGAACTGTGGAACTGTTCTGAACTGCATTCGTAGGCGTTTTCATCGGATTGTTCTGTTGCCGACTTAGCAGCTCGTGCATCCGCTGTTTCGCTTTTCTTTCATGATGGTTTTGCTCGGACTGGCAGATCAATGGAATGGAATACCCTTACTGGTCCATGCCAAGTCGTGGTTCAGCTGGTGGTAGTTGGGACATCAATTTGTAATCAAGTCTTAACATGAAACCATGAAAGCCATAGCATACCCCAAACGCTCCATGTATACCATACCAGTATATGCCTAGATTGACCCCTCAAACCACCCCAATGTAGGCATATATGCCATACATGGAGTGTCTGGGTACTATATTTTGGTTTATTGATATTATTACTAATTATAGTGCCTTGTAATTGAATGTTCGTTTGAGGTCGTTGGTCAGGGAATGTCAGGGATGGAATATGATGGATGAGTTCCATTCCAATCCCCAATCAAGCACTTGGAATCCTTGAACCCACGAAAGACAGTCGCAAACAGTTGCAGGTGCCCTCTGGAAACGCCAATCTGAAGGGCCCTTGACCCCGAAGAGTGGCACCTGCAAAACCAAAAAAAGAAACAACAAAGCAACAAATTCAGTCAGGACTTTCAAAAGGGTTGGCTGCCATAGACCCACCAACCGTGAGTGGATATCTATATATTACTTATAATGGGCAGAACTCGCTCTCCTCTGTCACGACATGGAACTGCTGAAAATCAACTCTTTGGCCAATCAAGTCCTGGAGACTGTCCTGGAGATGTCAATCCCACACACCGTGCGATTCCGCGATTTCGGCTCAACGGCTCTTGTGTTTTCTTTTTTCCGCAGGTGCCGTCTGGACAGGTCAGGCCATGAATCGAGGGAAAGAAATCCATGACAGATTCCAACGGTGGGGCTGAACTCGCAAAAAATGTATAAAGATCTTGAGGATACAGTCCCTTCCATGCCCTACCTATACAATATACGTGAGGAGAGCCGGCCTTTGCCTCAAAGTGAAGGCTCAGCATGGCTTATAACCTTTGGCCGCAAGTGCTGTCGCCACCCGCTCAGCCCGCGACTCCGTCAGATCCAGATCCCGTTCGTGTCCAAATGTTCGCGGAGACCAATGACGAGTTCGTTGCCTTGCCCAGGTGAAAGAGACAACCCTGAGAAAGTAGGTTGGAGGCCATCGTTAGTAGGTTGGAGGCCATCACAAATCTCGTCTCATCCGCCGTTTCTCTCGCTAGGCACACTGAAATCGCTGCAAATCGGCCCGAAATAGTCCACATCACCTTCTTGTGCAACCAACTACGTAACACCCTTTGGTATCTTCGGTTTTCCAGTCCCCAACAGGCCTGGTCTGGGTGAATTGGAACCAACTTGTTGTCCTTGTGGCAGGCTGACCCAACATACTTTTAAATACCTCTCACCCTGCGAGGAAGGATGGCGAGGAAGGATGGGGGACTCAGGGGTTAGTGAGCGGGGCGTTGTGCACGAGGGGAACTACAGCCAGGACAACATCTTGTAGCATCATCATCAACTACCAAATCCACAAACGGAAGCAGCGCACATTCATAGAACAATCAATTCATGTACAAATCATTACAAATCAAAGAAGAACACTGCTGAGGCTGTTGAGGCTGTTCTCAGTTGCAACTGCTATGTGGTGTACAATGCCCTTTCCTGGACTTCAGCAAAGCAACACAACCATTGTCACGACGCTGAAGGCCTTCTGCACCGCACTGGTCACCGCGGTCGCACCGTTGATCACGGCTGCATCGATGGGCAAAGATCAAGTCTTCAAAGACAACTGCAGACATGGCGGAAACGGGTTGCAACGACAGCACTGGGAAACCAGTTCTGGGGTACATACTAGCCAGCGTCCAGCTGGCTACAGGTCTCCTCTGCAACCTGAAATGAAGACTTGAAGATCTTAAAAGTGGCAGGCGGCGACCTGTTGGATGTTGGAGGGTCTCGGTAATTTGACAAACTTATGCCGGAAGTTTTGCAAACGTATGCCAAATATCGTTGGCTCCTGGCACCTGGCTCTGACGTTGCCAAGCTCCAGAGTAGAAAGCTCAGGCATGAACCATCCCCAGAAAGCGCATGTCCATTGACCAACTTCCGTCACGGCACAGTTTTGATGATCTTGTTGGACATGTTGTTCTCAAGTAATACATCCAACATCATCCAACTGTTTGGCTGGTGAGATCCCACATTGTTTGGACTGACCATAAACTCGTCTGAACATATGTCCCAACAGATCCGCAGTCATATTCCACTGGTCCAGCTTCCCTCGCTTCCCTCGGCACCATGTCCCCCAAACTTCAGAATTACAAAAACATGGTCTCACTTGCGACACCAAATCTGATTCATTTCTAGAAGATCAAGTGCCAATTTTTGGCTAAGTTGCAAACATATTTCCGCCACCATTCTTTCTTCCGAGGCACGCTAAAGCTGACCCCCGCCCGCTTTCACCGTGCCTCAACAAAAACATACACTGTCCCGGTCCCTGAGGCTATACACGAGCCCTTCCGACTGCCGCCTGCTTGTAGAAGAACCTCCGTTGCTCGATGCTGGAATGCAAGGAGTCCAGAAGCTGCATGTAGCAGTCAGTGTCGGGAGGGATCTGCCTGGGCGGATCGTGGCGAGGGAGAAAGCCGTCTAACGAGTACGGCACGAGTACGGTTTGAACCCTGCTACTGGTTGCAACATGTTGAAGCTGTTTAATGAATTTTATGAGTTTTGTACTTTCAATCTTCATGGCGGCACAGGGCTTTCCTCTTGGCTTCCTCTTTTCAAGACCCGCCACAAGACACAAGACTGGGTGCTTCGCTCATGAGAAGGGCGCCCAGGCAGGGTTGGTGGAGCTTGCTTCGTGCCCACGAGCCTTTCTAAGAAATGGCGCCCAGGCAGGGTTGGTGGAGCTTGCTTCGTGCCCACGAGCCTTTCTAAGAAATGAGTCACACGAACCCAGCGGAACCACAAACTTGTTACTAGTAGCTTCTTGCTACTAGCAGCAATGCACTTGTTAGACGTTGTTGCTCATGCAAAGCCGACTGGCCTTGCATTGGCCTTGCTTTGTCAAGTAACTTGTCAACCCAAAGCTTGAAGGCCTAAAGTTTGATATGTTTATTGTGAAATGATGGGGTCCAAGAAATGCCTGGCAACACCAACTGATGCAAAAACTCAACACGTTCTTCCCGAACCTCACGCTTGTTAAAGCCACTTCCATTGATCCCATTACCAGTGGCTCATATTGAGAAACTCTTGTAGAATCCTAATTATCATGGCCAGGTGGTAAAACGCTGCATCAACCAAAAAGGACATTATAAAACAAGGATGGTTGCTCACACAACATTACCTCTTACACCATGACGTAGGCAGCCCCAAAATAACAATGTCCCTTTGACATGCAAATATTTATATATTATGTATGTATGCACGTATGTGTGTATCAATCAATCAATCAATCAATCAATCAATCAATCAATCAATCTATCTATCTGATAATCTATGTATGCACGCGCGTATGTATGTATGTATGTATGTATGTATGTATGTATGTATGTATGTA